GTACACACACAGAGGTACACACACAGAGGTGCACACACAGAGGTACACACACAGAGGTACACACACAGAGGTACACACACAGAGAGGTACACACACAGAGGTACACACACAGAGGTACACACACACACAGAGGTACACACACAGAGGTACACACACAGGTACACACACAGAGGTACACACACAGGTACACACACAGAGGTACACACAGAGGTGCACACACAGAGGTACACACAGAGGTACACACACAGAGGTACACACACACAGAGGTACACACAGAGGTACACACACAGAGGTACACACACAAAGGTACACACAGAGGTGCACACACAGAGGTACACACACAGAGGTACACACACAGAGGTACACACAGAGGTACACACACAGAGGTGCACACACAGAGGTACACACACAGAGGTACACACACAGAGGTACACACACAGAGGTACACACACAGAGGTACACACACAGAGGTACACACACAGAGGTACACACAGAGGTACACACACACAGAGGTACACACACACAGAGGTACACACACAGAGGTACACACAGAGGTACACACAGAGGTACACACACAAAGGTACACACAGAGGTGCACACACAGAGGTACACACACAGAGGTGCACACACAGAGGTACACACACAGAGGTACACACACAGAGGTACACACACACAGAGGTACACACACACAGAGGTACACACACAGAGGTACACACACAGAGGTACACACACAGAGGTACACACAGAGGTACACACACACAGAGGTACACACACAGAGGTGCACACACAGAGGTGCACACAGAGGTACACACACAGAGGTACACACACAGAGGTACACACACAGAGGTACACACACACAGAGGTACACACACAGAGGTGCACACAGAGGTACACACACAGAGGTACACACACAGAGGTACACACACAGAGGTGCACACACAGAGGTGCACACACAGAGGTACACACACAGAGGTACACACACAGAGGTACACACACACAGAGTTACACACACACAGAGGTACACACACAGAGGTACACACACAGAGGTACACACACAGAGGTACACACACACAGAGGTACACACAGAGGTACACACAGAGGTACACACACAGAGGTGCACACACAGAGGTACACACACAGAGGTACACACAGAGGTACACACAGAGGTACACACAGAGGTACACACACAGAGGTACACACACAGAGGTACACACAGAGGTACACACAGAGGTGCACACACAGCGGTACACACACAGAGGTACACACACAGAGGTACACACACAGAGGTACACACACAGAGGTACACACACAGAGGTACACACAGAGGTGCACACACAGAGGTGCACACACAGAGGTACACACAGAGGTACACACACAGAGGTACACACAGAGGTATACACAGAGGTACACACACAGAGGTACACACACAGAGGTACACACACAGAGGTACACACAGAGGTACACACACAGGTACACACACAGAGGTGCACACACAGAGGTACACACACAGAGGTACACACACACATAGGTACACACACAGAGGTGCACACACAGAGGTGCACACACAGAGGTACACACACAGAGGTGCACACACAGAGGTACACACACAGAGGTACACACACAGAGGTACACACACAGAGGTACACACACAGAGGTACACACAGAGGTGCACACACAGAGGTGCACACACAGAGGTGCACACACAGAGCTACACACACAGAGGTACACACAGAGCTACACACACAGAGGTACACACACAGAGGTACACACACAGAGGTACACACAGAGGTACACACAGAGGTACACACACAGAGGTACACACACACAGAGGTACACACACAGAGGTACACACACAGAGGTACACACACAGAGGTACACACACACAGAGGTACACACAGAGGTACACACAGAGGTACACACAGAGGTACACACACAGAGGTACACACACAGAAGTACACACACAGAGGTGCACACACAGAGGTACACACACAGAGGTACACACAGAGGTGCACACACAGAGGTGCACACACAGAGGTACACACACAGAGGTACACACACAGAGGTACACACAGAGGTGCACACACAGAGGTACACACAGAGGTACACACACAGAGGTACACACACAGAGGTGCACACACAGAAGTGCACACACAGAGGTGCACACACAGAGGTACACACACAGAGGTACACACAGAGGTACACACACAGAGGTACACACACAGAGGTACACACAGAGGTACACACACAGAGGTGCACACACAGAGCTACACACACAGAGGTACACACAGAGGTACACACACAGAGGTGCACACACAGAGGTACACACACAGAGGTACACACACAGAGGTGCACACACAGAGGTACACACACAGAGGTACACACACAGAGGTACACACACAGAGGTGCACACACAGAGGTACACACACACAGAGGTACACACAGAGGTGCACACACAGAGGTACACACAGAGGTACACACACAGAGGTACACACAGAGGTACACACACAGAGGTACACACACACAGAGGTACACACACACAGAGGTACACACACAGAGGTACACACAGAGGTACACACACACAGAGGTACACACACACAGAGGTACACACACAGAGGTACACACACACTGAGGTACACACACAGAGGTACACACAGAGGTACACACACAGAGGTACACACACACAGAGGTACACACAGAGGTACACACAGAGGTACACACACAGAGGTACACACACACAGAGGTACACACAGAGGTACACACAGAGGTACACACACAGAGGTACACACACACAGAGGTACACACACAGAGGTACACACACACAGAGGTACACACACAGAGGTACACACACAGAGGTACACACACAGAGGTACACACACACAGATTTCACCCTGTAGTGAAGAGGAGACGAGAGAGAGTGACCGAACGGGCTTACAAAGCGGCGGCTTTATCTGTCAGGGCGCTCAACGTCTCGTCAATGCTGACTGCTTACCAAGCAGAGCTGTGCGAGGACATGGCGAATAAACCTGAGCCTGCTGTGTGGGACGAGATTACCGCGATCACGGGCATTTGCCTCCGCGTGCAGCGCTGTGCGGTCCAAGCCACGGGTAAATCACTTGGGATGATGGTAGTGCAGGAGAGAGCCAGGTGGCTTAACCTGACAAACCTACCAGACAGGGAGAAAGAGGAAACTTTGGACATGCCATATTCGGCACCGCTCTGGCTTCGATGCAGCAGCGGTGTGAGGCCAAAAAGAGAGAAGACGAGGCTCTCCAGCTCTGTCTTCCCCGGAAGGTCCAGCCGCCGCCTCCGACGGCCCCGCGACAGACCTTCGCTCAGGCTGCCTCGCGACCCTCCCAATTTAAGATCCCGAAACGGCCAAAGCCACATCCCGCCCCGGTTCAAAACCCGCCCAGGCATGAGGCGAGGACGAACTGGCCAAGGAAGTCCCCAGTCCCGACAGCAGGTGCACCGCAGTGTTAATTTCGTCAACGAAAACTATGACGAAAAATGTTCGTCAACGACCTTTTTTACATGACTAAGACGAGACGATGACAAGCTAAAAATAGATTCTTGATAACGAAAATTTGACGAAATGTATATTTAGTTTTCGTTGACGAGACGAGACGGGACTAAGGTGTTAATGGTGGACTATCGGACATTCAAAATGCAGGGTATTTCCCCCCAAGTGTCCGTCTTGTCTGTCAAAATGCATCTTACATTTCTAACTTGCAATATCATTATTTCCGCTCTCTTCACTCGAGAAGAGCGATCTCCCTGTCTATCTCTGATCTCTGTGTGTGCGGGGGGCGGGGCCTAACAGACACGCTGCGGCGGCAGAGATCTGCCGGGGACGGAGCGTTCAGAGAGTATAGAGACACTCTACACAAGACTCGATGTGGACAAAGCTTGTTTGCCATGTGTTCGCGTTAGCGCGTTGACACGAGTAGAGTAGTCTGTCCAAACAGCCGGCCAAAAGGCGTCATATTCAGTCGGAGAAATGCACAATTTTCGACTTCCTTAACTCGTAGCTCTGTTGCCCCAATCAGGTGCGCAGAGGTGGGAGAAGTACTCAGATCTTGTAGCTAAGTAAAAAAATACCATAGTGTAGGAAGAGTTCCTCAAGTCAAAGTATGATCATCAAAATATATTTAAAGTAGCGACAGTAAAAGTAGTCATTGTGCAGATTGGTCCATTTCAGAATAATATACATGATATGTTTTATAATGATTGATCATTAAAGTGTTCTCAAAGCTGGTAAAGGTGCAGCTAGTTTGAAGGACTCTGTATACTGCAGGGTAGCTTGTGGATTTACTAAAGTCTGAGTTAACACTTGATTATATTTCACATCATTCATCCACATCTGTAAAGTAACTAAAGGTATTAAATACATGTAGTGGAGTAGAAGTACACCATTTAACTATGAACTGTAGAGGAGTAGAAGTACACAGTAGCAAAACATTTAAATACTCCAGTAAAGTACAAGTACCTCAACATTTTACTCAAGTACAGTACAATATTTTAACATAATTATATATATTTCATTTATTTCACATGTAAATAAAGCAATTAATTCGGTTAACAATTTGTTCGTTTTTTCCTTTAAAAAATAACAAAAAGTACCTACAAGAATACCGTTAAAGTACCGGATCGATAAGCAATATTGATAAGACTAGTAGTACCGTAGAAAACCTTAGCGATACCCATCCCTATATATTACACAAGTAAAGTGTTAAGAGAGTGAAATGTTGCTTTACGAATTTCAACACTTGATGCTGTCACCTTGATTACAATGTCAGAAACCTGTATTTGCCCAACTGAATTGGTTTAAAGAGAGAAAACATTTTGACTAAAAGTTGACTAAAATGTAATTTTTCATCGACTAAAAGTAGACTAAAACGTTTTGAGTTTTCGTCGACTAAAACTAGACTAAAACGTTTTGAGTTTTCGTCGACTAAAACTAGACTAAAACTATGAAGGATAGAAATGACTAAAATGTGACTAAAACTAATAACCATTTTCGTCTAAAGACTAAGACTAAGACTAAATCAAAAACAGCTGCCAAAATTAACACTGGTGCACCGGCACAGCCGGCCCAGACTTTCGGTCATCAAGCGAGGAAGAAGAAGAGAGCGGCCTGACAGCCTTGCCTCCTCTCCTCGGTGGAAGAGCTGGAAGTTCCCCGTTCTCCAGCCCCACCTGTTCTGCGCTGGACTGTGCTTCCGGAGGCCACCCATGCCCCCGACTCCCCGTCGCTTCGTGTGATGTCCAAACGACATCCGGTTCGCGCCATGAGGAAGGTGGACTTTATGTTGGAGACAGCAGATTCTGCTGCCCGTTTAAGTCACACAAGCACATGTCCACGTTCTTTAATAAAGCATATTTCACTGTCATTTCCAGGCTTGAAGCCAAGGGCTGTCGCCTCCCTCAGCAAGCGGACGGTAACCGAGTCTGTCAATGCACTATCACCTCGCGCATGCGCAATGTCGGCCGAGGTTGTCAGTCAGGGGTACGATCATGTTCAGACACTAGAGGGCCCCATAACACAACTAATAAAGGCACAGAGAGCCGACAGCAGGGCAGAGGCTACCTCCCCTCTCACTCTCATGAGCGAGAGGTGGAAAGCGCTCACAAGCTCAGCTTGGGTGTTGAGGACGATATCGCGGGGCTACAGGCTCCAATTCACTGTCACCCCCCCTCACTTCTCCGACATTGTGCATTCACAAGCCCGGGGAGAGTCGGCCCGTATTCTAGAGCAGGAGATTTTCTCGCTGTTAGAAAAAAAGGCCATAAATATAGTGCCCCCCGAACAGAGTCAGAGCGGCTTTTATTCCAGGTATTTCCTCGTCCCCAAACGGGGAGGGAACGGAATTCGCCCAATCCTGGATTTAAGGGCTCTGAACAAATACCTCAGAAAATACAAGTTCAGGATGCTCACTCACTGCTGCGTCTCGTGCGTCAGGGCGATTGGTTCACATCAATCGACCTGAAAGACGCGTATTTTCACATCCCAATATATTATCCACACAGGAAATATCTGAGGTTCGCTTCTCAGGGTGTCTGTTACGAGTACAGAGTGCTTCCCTTCGGCCTGTCTCTCAGTCCACGGGTGTTTGTACGATGTACGGAGGCAGCAATCGCCCCGTTACGACAGCAGGGCATTCGTCTGGCAACATATTTAGACGACTGGCTCCTTCTTGCACAGTCGGAGCAGGAGGCTATTACGCAGACGAATATCCTCGTGAAACACCTGCTCGACCTGGGTTTTGTAATAAACACAGAAAAGAGCATGTTGTCCCCAGCTCAGACTGTACTCTTCCTGGGTTTATGCCTAAATTCAGTGTCCTTCACAGCCCGCCTGTCAGCGGAGAGAGTGAAAGCCTTCAGGGCTTGCCTCGCTCATTTCCGGCCACGCAAATATGTTCTCTTCAGATCATGTCTGCGGTTGCTGGGGCTCATGGCGTCAGCCATCCTGGTGGTACGACTGGGCCGCTTACACATGAGGGATTTTCAGCGCTGGGTAGCTGCCCTCAGACTGGACCCTGTGTGTCATGGCGCACGGAGAGTGATGGTCACTGTGGAATGCGTAATGGCACTGCGCCACTGGCTGCACCCGGTTTTCCTGGTACGGGGCGTGCCTATGGGTACTGTCCTATCACGGAAAGTGGTCACCACAGACGCATGTCTGTCGGGCTGGGGGGGTATATACGAAAGTCGACCTGTGAGGGGTCTCTGGAACAGAGATCTCCAGCGGTTACATATAAACAGTTGCGACTGGTCATTAGGGGCAGGTGGGGCACAGCCCCACCTAGTGTCAGCAGAAAGTATTACACATAATGAAAACAAAAAATGCAAAAAGATGCAAAAAAAGAAATAAAAAAATATATAAAATATATTTTAAGGTCATGTTTAATCATCTGATTCGTCTGTACATTGCTGTTTTAGTCTGTGTTCTTCTAATTAGTGTCTACAGTGCCGTTTTGAGCCATGTGGGACAAAACCTGATTCTGCCCCTCCCTCTCACTGTTTAAGTGAACGGTGACTGTAAAAACTACACTGCGCATGCTCAGAGTATTTTTCAATGGAATGTGTGTGGCAAAAAAAAAAAGGCCAAAGGGGCACAGAGCTGCCATCCCCACCATACGTCAGCTCACATTATTCAGAACTGATTGGCTGTAAATATGTCACGTGTGCAGTGCTGCGAAACGTCACGTGTAGTGTGAAGAGAAGACGAGAGAGCAGCATATAGCTAACATCACCAGCGATTAAAAATAAGTAAAAAACGGAAAGAAAATGAATGAAGTTGACCATTTACTGGAGCACACATTTGAGACACTTAGTCTCGGAGAGAAACTGGAGGTAAAGCGCCTCGGTGCCCACCATCCACCGGATTTCCAAATGGTCCAGACTGCGGGCAAAGTGAACCGCGGGTTTAATGCTGAGTGGTTTGCTAAAAAGAAATGGCTAACGGCGAGCATCCAGAAGAATTCCCTCTTTTGCTTTCCTTGCCTGCTTTTTGGTGAAGATCAAGGTACTTGGTCGAGGACAGGTTACAAGGACTTAAAGCATCTTTCGGAGAGGACAATGAAGCATGAGAGCAGCAACAGTCACTTGGAAAATGCCGTAAAATTGGGATTACTGGGAAGGGTGAATGTTGCAGCTCAGATTGACAGCGCCTACAGACGCGGCATTGATGATCATAATAGAAAGGTGGAAGAAAACAGGTACGTGTTGGGTCGGATCATCACCTGTATTAAACTGTGTGGGAAATGTGAGACAGCACTGCGGGGCCACGACGAGTCGGCGGACTCTCTGAATCCAGGGATATTCAGGTCAATTTTCGAGACAATGTGTGAGGGCGATTCCAGGCTTCGACGGCACTACGAAGCTCAGCCCGTTTTCAAAGGGACATCAAGCACCATACAGAATGAACTCTTGGACTGCATGTATGATGTGTACAGGGAAGAAATATCCAAGCAAGTGGACAACACATCATTTGTTGCCGTTCAGGCCGACGAGACAACCGATGTCTCATGTAAATCGCAAATGGTGATTGTGCTGCGATACATTATGCCTGACCTCACAGTTACAGAGCGTTTTTTGGAGTTTGTGGAAGTAAAGGACAAAACTGGTGTAGGTCTCTCTAACAGCATCAAGGCTGTTCTTGAACCCCTGAAGCTGAAAGAAAAGCTAATCGCTCAGACCTATGACGGGGCGGCCGTCATGAGCGGTAACGTGCGCGGGGTACAGACGATCATGAAGGAGACGTACCCAAACGCTCAGTTTGTTCACTGCTACGCCCACCAACTGAACCTGACCCTGCAGCAACTGTGTTCAGCAAGGATGAGCATCCTGAAGGTGTTTTTTGCAGATCTAACTGCTTTTTTCACTTTTTTCTCCGGTGCTCCAAAACGTGTTGCAGCTCTTGCAGAGGCAACACAGAGACGCATACCACGGCCACCGGCTGTGAGATGGAACTTTAAAAGCAGAACTGTGAACGCGGTTTGGGAGACCCGAGAAGCACTTCTTCAGTGTATGGACCATATACGCACACAACCAGGATGGGATGCGGTCACCATAAGTGAGGCATACGGCCTGTCAAAGAAACTGCGGGACCGAGCATTTATGCAGCTCCTGGAGTTTTTTTCGTTGCTTATGCCAGAAGTGGATGTTTTATACAACACTCTGCAAAAACGAAGCATCGATGCACCTGGGATCAACAGCGCGCTCTGCCGCTTCAAGGAAAATGTCCAGAAAATGAGGCAGCAAACTGATGCATTGGCCGCCACCACTCATGATGGAACAGACGAGCCAGGCCGACGAGTCAGCAGCACAGCGCCGGTAATGAAGGAGGCATGTGACACAGTCATCTCACAGGTGGAACAGAGGTTCTCACAGAGTGACCATTTGATCGCTGCAAAGCTCGTTGACAGCTCATTCTTCCCACAGCATGTCCTGTCATTTCCTACACCTGAGCTTGACTGCGCAGTGAAATTGTGGCCTGCTTTGGGAAACAAGGAGAAGTTGAAGTCTGAGCTGACCACGCTCTACCGCCACAGTGAACTTCACACTGGAAACACTGCCCTGTCTCTGTTGAAATCCATTCACGAGAACAACTTGGAGGATACGTTTGCTGAGACTGTTATTTTGGTCAAAATAATAGTAACAACTCCGATGACGACATCCGAGTCAGAGAGGAACTTTTCCACCCTCAAAAGGATAAAGACTTTCACTCGCAACACCATGGGACAGCTGCGACTTAACGCATTGGCCATGCTTTCAATTGAAAGCCAGTTGATCCAGCAACTACAGGACTTCATCCCCAAAGTGATAGAAACATTCTGTCAGAGGAAGGACCGCCGTGCCGCTTTTCTTTTCAAGTGAGCCTTCAGCTTTGGTAAGTTCATTTATGTCATATATTTTGTTGATCTTCTGTGTTTTGCCTCTGCTGGATCGATTGATATTGTGACCCTCGGTGATGAGTGTCTGTGTTTTCCTTATATTTACAGTCCTATGGTGTTTTAAATGCTAAAGCATTGGAGGGTGGGTTGTTGTTGGGTGGTAAGAATTGCTTTGTGATTGGTGGCCCTTTACTTATGTATTAAGGTGCATTACAATATGACAGATCCCCACGCTGTGTACCGTACATTTACTTACACAGTGTACTAATGTATGCGCGACAGTGTTGCTGCTCACGTGTGGTCTTCCAGTATGCATTTGACACTCCCCCTCCCCCCGCCGTCTCAGAGGAAAAAAAAAAGAGAGAAGAGAGAAAAAAAAAACTAAGGGCTACAAAAAGCGAGAGGCGATAAAAAAAAAGAAAGAAAAAGAAACCTGTTCCAAAGACCAGGCCCTCCTCTCTCCCCCCCCTCTCTCTCTCTCTCCTCCCCCCCTCCCCCCCCCCCTCTCTCTCTCCCCCCCCACCTCTCTCTCTCTCCCCCCACCTCTCTCTGCCCCCCCAGTTTTGTACACATAGAAACGCCACTGCATATAAACTATCTGGAGCTTTTAGCGGTGTTTCTCACCCTAAAACGCTTTCTGCCTTTTCTCAAAGGACATCATGTCCTCGTGAAGACAGACAACACAACCACAGTATCGTATATAAACCGTCAAGGGGGTTTGCGTTCTCTTCAGTTACACATGCTGGCACGCAAACTGATACTATGGAGCTGCGGCCGTCTCCTTTCTCTGAGAACAACGCACGTACCGGGGGTGATGAACCTCGGAGCACCACTATATGCAGATTGGGCTCTGCATCCAACAATTGTGAGTCAGTTGTGGATACGTTACGGCCGAGCCGCGGTGGATCTGTTCGCGTCAAAAGAAAACGCTCAGTGTCAGCTGTTCTTTTCAATGCGCGGTCTAGACGCGCCGTTAGGCGTGGACGCACTCGCGCACGTTTGGCCGCCGGTCCTTCTGTACGCGTTCCCCTGGCTCTAATACCTCCGACTCTGTCCAGAGTGAGAGAGCATCGCCACACGCTGATCCTGATAGCTCCGCACTGGCCTGCAATGTATTGGCTGGCGGAGATATATCAGCTGCTGTGCGGGCAGCTGTGGCATCTCCCGTTACGCAGGGACATACTGTCTCAGGCAGGGGGGACTATTTTTCACCCACACCCGGAACGCTTGGCACTATGGACCGTGAGTGGTATAATTTGAGTACAGTGGGGCTTCCTCAGAAGGTGATAAACACTATTCAGAGTGCAAGGGCTTCCTCCACCAGGTCTCTTTTGGCGCATTTCCACTACACGGTCGGCCTCGGCCACACTCGGTACGGCTCGGTACGGCTTGGCCGCGTTGGGCCTTAACAGGGCCGACTCACTTCATGCTGCGCTTCCATTACAGTTTAGGAACTGGGGTAGTTACTATAGTAACGCAGTGTAGGCGGAGCCGTGACGTCATCTTCAATGAGAAATCCAGAAACACAACACAGCCGTTAGCTGTGAGCACTCAGAACTCACAGCTCCTTATATATGTTCAGAAACTCGACAAAAGTTAAACAAGTACAAACCACAGACTGCCTGTGTCATGGTGAATACAGTCGCTGCTTTAGTTATGTCTGTATAGGCCGTTGTTGTGAGTGTGGACGGTCGGGGCATATACTGCGTTAGCTTAGCCAATCTCCATCTAGAAAAACACGAATTTTAAAAGGTTTTTCGCCTGCCGTCTGTCTGCAGACTTGACAAAGCATAAATTCATGGTTTTTACTAACCGGTATCAGTATGTTGTTACTTCGGCATCATTTTGAAACGTGTATTACAATTAAATCACGGTCAAATATGTCCATCTTGTTGTAGTTCTAGCCCTCTTGCCAGCGCTCCTCTCTCTAGTTTAGCATACTCAGCCCGACTCAGCCCTGTTTGTTGGCCCCGATAGAACCACAATTTTCTAGGGCCAGAAAAGAGGGGAAAAAGTGGCCCCGCGCCGTGCCGCGCCGGAACGAGGCCTAGTGGAAGCACAACCAAAAAAGGGGACGGCACGACACGGCACGCTTAAAGCGAGCTACGCGCTGCAATGGAAATGCGCCATTAATGACTGTAAGTGGAGAGTGTTTGAGGAGTGGTGCCTCCAAAAGGGACACTTTTCTCTTTTCAATGTCCTGTCGGTGTGATTTTGTCATTCCTGCAGGACTTGATTGATAAACACAGAGCTTTCTCTACGATTAAAGTGTACCTGGCTGCTATTGCTGCATGCCATGTGGGTTTTGAGGGAAAAACGGCTAGCCAACATCCCTTGGTCTGCCGTTTTATGAAAGGGGCTCGCAGGCTCCTCCCTGTTTCCAGGTCACTGGTGCCCCTATGGGACTTGGCAGTGGTTTTAGATGGGCTCACTCAACCTCCATTTGAACCCCTGGAAGAAGTTGACATGAAACACCTGTCACTGAAGACAGTGTTGTTGCTGGCTCTGGCATCCGCCAAGCGAGTCAGTGACATTCATGCGCTCTCTGTACATCCTTCATGCACTCAGTTTGCCCTGGGGCAAACAAGAGTGTTGCTGAAGCCTAACCCTGCTTTTGTGCCCCAGGTGGTTGGCTCATGCACCCCCATTGACCTTGCGGCATTTTCTTCACCATTATGTTCTTCTGAAGAACAGCGGTCGAATTTGCTGTGTCCAGTTCATGCCCTGCGCATCTATATTTACAGGTCTAAAGAGTTTCGATGCAGTGACCAACTCTTTGTATCCTGGGCTAACCCTCATAAGGGCAAGCCCGTTACCAGGCAGCGACTCTCCCACTGGATTATGGGAGCAATAGCTCTGGCTTATACGAGTCAGGGTTTGCAGGCACCAATGGGCCTGCATGCTCATTCTACTCGTGGCCTGGCTACGTCCTGGGCTTTGTTTAAGGGTGTTTCCATCCAGGACATTTGTGCAGCAGCGAGCTGGTCTTGACGTAGTCGTCAAGATCACCAGCCAATCAGGATTGGCGTAATGAGATTGATGCTTCTGAGGCATACGCGGGGAGGCGCATCCCATAGTGAGACATCTCACTCATGTTACTCTGAGAACCGGGGTTACGCTAGTAACCTATAGGTACAGTGTGTAGGTGTGTGTGTTGTACAGTGCGTAGATGCGGCGGACAGACGGGTCTCAGTTGGTTTGGTGTCCTATGCTTACTTTTAATACTTGTAAATACAACTTTTGGCCCGTAATTTCAATTCCCCATTTCAGCGACCAGAGAGATGGGGGGATATATCCAGTCTCTGATTGTGTGATTATACCGCACTGTGAATGAATTCAAAGTAAATATATAAGTCATCTTGAACACATCTGTCCATCAGACAGAGGGCTGCTGTGCCTCCTGTCATCATTAATGGACGTCTCTTTAAAATGACCGCTCAGAGGAGAGGAGTTCTCATTTCTCTAACCGCCTGCTGCTTCCCCTCCTCTCTCCTCGGCTCCCCTCCTCGGCTCCTCCGCTCGCATCTCCTGTGGGCGGGACTAAGTCTCGAGGATAGGAGTCGAGGAGGGGAGTCGAGGAGGGGAAATTAGAGTATTGAGAAGCCTTCATTGATACCGTACATGGCAGATTAAAAACGAATTGCAAATGTTATTGTAGCATTTTAAGCAACTATTAGGCTAATTAATAACCTAGTCTATCTGTTTGAGACACAACATTATATGACTTTAAGCACAAATCATTTTGTCTAATTAATATATTAAAACAAAAAGGGGGCTTAGTAAACTTTATTTTTTAGTACATATAAAATAGGTAATAATGAGATCATCTATTAATTATGTTTGTCTAACTGCTACACATGTATTTATACATAAATGTAGATATTTATGAACATCTAAATATAGTTGTTAAAGGTTTTAAAGGCCCTGACACACCAGGCCGAAATCGGCCGTCTTCAAGTCAGACGACGAAGCGTGCCTTGTCGCCCAAACTCAATTTGGTGTGTCCCGAACCGTCGGCCGTGACACGGCTTATTTGGCCGACGCATGGCCGATTCAACATGTTGAATCGGCCATGCGTCGGCCACAGGCAGTCGGACAAAGAAACCACTCTGATTGGCTGTTCAGCTAGCGAATGAGAAGCGAAATGGAAGTGAGGGACGTAAACAAACGATTTAAGAAGGCACAACACAGACGGCTATTCATTTCCATCTCATCGGTTTATTTGTCATCATGGCGATCTGGAATGAAGGAAACGAAGACCTGCTCATCACCTTGATCCAGGAGAGGCCAGCTCTGTACGACATTACAGAGACAAAGTACTCGAACCGAGTAGTGAAAACCGGACTCTGGCGAGAGATTGAAACTCAACTTGGTTTCTCAGGTAAGATTCTCTTTTTTCATCAATTGAGCTCTTTAGCAGAAACTGTTTTTTTTTTTATTGTTTGCCAGCATACGTGAAATGTCATTTGTTATTTCAACCTTGTGTTTTGTTGTTATCTTGTTGCTAGCTGTTGCTAATTGTTTGGCACTGCATATGATTTGGACATGCTAACTAGCCACAATGCTTACATCGTTTATTTGTGTGCTTCAGAGAAAGAGCTGAGGAAGAAGTGGGATTCTCTGCGAACCCAGTACACCCGGAACAGGAGACTTGCCCCTTCGGGTAGTTGTGGAGCACATAGGACCGGCAGACAGCAGTGGATCATGACCAGGCTGCAGTTTTTAGAGCCCTACACAAAAAGGAAGGAGAGTACTTCGAACCTCACCATCACGGTAACTATTTTATTTGTTGAGTACAAATAAGTGTTTCTTGCTTCTCTTACAAAAATATTATTTTCATTCATTTGGTGGTTACAGTGGTAAATATAACAATAACAGAATAATATATACATTATTGTATTATAATTATTGATGTGCTCATCACCTTAATGTTGCAGCTGGTAAAAGGAGGAGCTAATTTAAATTACATTATATACTGCTGGGTAGCTTATGAAATTCACCATGGGATCAATAACGCTTTTATCTTAACCTATAATAATACATGATAAAATATGTCTTGATTATATTTGTAGTGTTCTGAATCTTCTAGAAGTACGTTTTAGCATCTGAATAGAGCCATCACAATGTGTCTACAATGTGCCTCTCACACTTGACCACACCCCGAACTAATGGCACACACATTTCAGGGTATTGTTTTGTTATGAATGCTTAGTAAACAGTTTTAAGAAGCCATGGTATTAAATCCAACTAACTGTGAATTTATTTAACATTTTTTAAGGAATGTCCGGTGGCTGCAGAATCACCCCCCGGTGGCACCAGCAGTGAAACCTTGACCAGCACCACTGAGGAGTCCTTCCACTTTGATGCTGAGCCCTGCACTCCCCTGGCAGAATCCACCATCTGCACCACACCGGCACCGCTCAGAGAGAGGCCAAGCACACTCAGCACTCGAAGGCCTCTGGCGAAGCGCAGGATGATGCAGGATTCGCAGGAGGAGTCCGCCGTTGAGGCGTCAAAAACATTGCTGGAGGAGATAAAAATAAGTCTGGCACAGTTGTCCCCGAGTGGACTTGATGACGTAATCGCGGCTCATTCCAAAGTGTTTGAGCACAGACTGCGGCTGTTGCCACCTCATCAGATTAGACGCTTCCTGAATCAGGTGGAAAATACCTTCTTCGAGTACTTAGAGGAAAATGAAACCTCTAGTCATTTCACTTGTCTCTAGACATTTCACTTGTCTCTAGACATTTCACTTGTCTCTAGACATTTCACTTGACTCGTTTTTTGTACATAAAGTTCACTCATTTTTAAAGATGTGGCTAATTCTTTTTACAGACAGTTGTGGCAATAAAAAAAAAATTCTGTATTGCATAGTATTTTTATTGTATTGTATTTTTGTTGATTGTTTACTTTTTGTATTATTATTGTTTATTTTGATAATAAACCACTTTTTACCGATACTGCAAAATGCAAAACTTTATTTCGTACCTTCATACATTCATACCTCCATACATTCAATTTGCAAGAAGTGGCCATTATTCAGATGGGTGTTTCTGCAGGATAGGCAATGCAAAACTTGATTTCGTACCTTCATACTACAGCCATTAGATAACACAACATAGAATTATTTATTTCTGCTTCAGAGAGCTGAAGTGGAGGAGCTGATTTAAATTACATTATATACTGCTGGGTAGCTTATACAATTCACCATGGGATCAATAACATTTTATCTTAACCTATAATAATACATATAAATAAAA